TCTTGCATTCCATAATGGGAAGAACCTCTTCCGGGGATAGCAGCAACCTGCAGGCTCGAGAAACTGTGGAAGAAATCAGGGAAGAGAAGCACAACTCTCTTATACAAAAAGTAGGGAACAGAGCAGCACCCTAGGGTGCGAATGAAGCTATTAGAAGTGAAGCTATTGGAATCGAAGAGCTCGGACTTTTCCCTTGGTCAACAACCAAGAAAAATTATCTATACTTCTACCTTTTTTTACTACTCTTATAGTCTTGACAGACTTAAGGAGGGGGGGCTTTATCTTATTAGAAAGAAATATGGAAGAACTAGATGTACGTTTGCTATATTCGGCAGTCTTAATAATCGGGAGCGTTATCTGTATGTGCTTTGTCAGATCATATTTTTCCTATCGGTCCGACGAAAGCGAACCAATACCTACAAGGGTAGCAGAGTATGCCCAACAACTGGACCTTGATAACGTTCAGCCCTGGTCTGCGGAACGCTATCTCGACGAGATAGGGACTCTGCTTGAGTTCAAATGGGCTTCCTTTTTTCCCGGGACCCCACTTCCAGAGGGGCATTCGTGGATAGAGCTGGCAAAAACGGTAATTGTCGAAACTCTCGGTCCAGATTTGACGGATGTCAACAGTCTGGCTAACGCCTACTGCGTTTTGGCCGAGAGTGGTTCAAATGCCTTCTTTATTCACTCTATTAAAATCGTGCTGCTCTGGCAGCAAGGTACGCCTTTCTAATCTATCTTATTCGTATTCCGATATTTAAGGAGGCTAGTCCCCGAAAATGCCCGTAGGAAACTTTCTCGTTGGGGGTTCAAATCCAATTCATGATGATAGTGAGGAAGAGAAGTTCTGAAAAGAGCTACTTTTGGATCGGTGAAGAGTTCGTCCCTGCTGTGGAATAGTAGTCCACAAGGTTGGTCACCAGACAGAGTGAGAACAGCTCAGCTTGCTTGCTTTATGGGGAGAGGTTTCAATCCTGGGTAACTAAGAGATGGAGTCATCCTTTCTGACTTTTGTAGATTAGCCCCTACGGAATGGCTTCAGTCGTATACTCGTCTGGCTTCTTTCTATCCATCCATACCTGGGGGGACGTCAATCTAGCTCTTAAGTCCGTTGCCAGGGTCACGTCACGGAAAGGTAAATCTTAACTTGAAGTTAGCAAGATCCAACGGTGTCCTTATAGTTATAGAAGGAATCTTAGATTCACCCTCTATTGACCCTATGGGGCTTTGAACCGCGAGGGTAAGTCAATCAACTCGGAGTTGCAAGCAGCATAAGAAGGAAGGAATTACATTAGCGGCACGAACGAGTAAGAAGAAAGAGAGCGAAGGAATGACTGAGCGCAGGGATACATCCGACTTGCAACCTAGGACCGAAGACAAGTCGATTAAACTGACCCCCGCTGGAAAGAACTTAACTTAATTTCTTGCATGGGTCCGAGGGGTTTTCAATGCTGCTCGAGACCAAAGGAATCCGCCAAGGCTGCATCAAAGACAGATCTTGTCACTAAGGGATCCAGGAATAGTAGAAGTGTACCGTGAATGATAGCTATTTAGTAAGGGCGTGGCTTATGGCTGAGAGTGACCCGTCTTGTTGAGTCGACTGTGAACGCATGGTTAGCTCAACAAAAGAACTTCTTCATCTTTTGCCTTTCCCCTCCTCATTCCTTTCCTTGAGCATTGATCAACAGGGATACAACCAAGCTCATGAAGATTATGAAGATTATTTAGTGACCCCTGCGAATCTTGCTAATCAGTAGCCAGACTTAGTTGAAAAATCTCATGCACCTACGGATACGGGTGAAGTCTCATTCGTGTAGTCAACAGGGGTGATCCACTCTTATGAAAGGAATATTTCGACTACAGCAGGAAGAAGGATGATAAATTACCGAGTAAACCTATGCAATCCACTGGGGACTCCCTATATAGTCAAGCCCCTTCCTCAACAAGCTAATTAAGGGAAGTGGAGGGTCTGTTAAGAATTTTCTCGATGGTCGAGGAAGTAGCAATAGTCGAGGTCAAAGTGGAAGGAGAACAGAGACTGGATCTAACTGAAAGAAAGGGGATCTAGGTACGAGAGGAGGGCACGCCAGCCTCGCGGGCTACCAATTCCTCCTGCTTCGTGCGCCGGGCCTGTACCTCCCTGTCTACTCCTCTTTTCCAGATTTCCCATATTATTCTATTAGCCGGCCTGTATACCAACAAGACTAAATGCACCTAAAACAGATAGAGTTCGAACGGCTGCACATATATGATCTAGTCGATAGCCCAAAATCCAAATTCCTTAAGGAATGCCCAACCCCCTACGCTGCTATGTCGCTACTTGCATTGTTAGCGCCGCCTTTTTTTAGAGTCCCACTTTCTCCCCGGGTAGGGCGTTAAGTGACTCGATTGAAAAGAGATGCTTGTCGAAGCTGATGAAAATGGTAAGTAATTGGTGAAGAGGAAACGAGTCGCATAAATGGAGCGAGCCATATACCAGTAGCCGATCCTCCAAGCAGGGGGTACAGCAAGGCTTAGCCAGTGAAGTCGGGATGAATTAGAGAATCCAATTTGATAAGAATATCAAAGAATTCGAAGGGTGCAACATTACGGTGCTGCACAGACTTCGGAATGAGAAATGGTTTTTTCTTGGTTGTTAACCAACGGAATACATGGGAAAAAGCCCTCTTAGCGGGAAGAAAGAATGTTTGCGAGGGAAAAGAAAGTTGACTTTTTGATTCCACAGTGGAATAGAGTTTGGGGCGAGCAAGTTGCATTCCACTGGGGGCAGACCATTCTTGTGAGAACGAGGGCAGGTCCAATCCGGGGTCTCTAACCAACTCTCTAGGGAAAACGACTAGCTAGATGATCTTTGAGTGAGATTTCGAACTTGTTGACGCAGAGATCCATCAAAGGGGAGAGGCGGGTTTGTGAGAAAGAGGATGGGATAGCATAGAACCCTTTCTTTCTCTTTCCCTTTGGTCTACTACCTAAGCAGTGCTCCTTTCTTCCCCTCTGTAGAATGTACACTGGAAAGAAGAAGCAATAATTAAGCTGACAGATCTTTTCTCATGTCAGTGCACTCATCTGTATCCACTTCATCCAATGCAAGAGATTTCTTCCGCGGCAGGAGATTAATTACTTTAGCGTGGAAGACTAAAAGCTGCTATATATTATATAGGTCTGGCGCTTCATCTTGCAAATGAAAGAATTTTCTTGTGCTCCCTTTCTAGTTAACCATAGGTACCTAATGGAATGACTCTGTCGGTCAAAACCCAGCCTGAACTAGTCTCTACTCCACAATGACAGAGGGTACTAGTACCTGACGAAGGTCAATTACTAAGGGGCTGATTAGTCGGCTTGTACCACAAGTATAATCTGATCGTTAGCTCCTCCTCGATCATACTCAGCTGCCCTTTTTCGCCTATGGTTCTCTTTAAACTGTAGGAAGCTGCTAAGAGAGCTAGCAGACAATAAGCTGCTAAGAGCGGTGTCGGGTTTATGCATGAAAGTATAGGGTACCACCCAAGTAGTTCGAAAGCCCTTGGTGCCGAGGCTGAATAAGCAGTCTTGGGGAAAGCACCACTAGGTCCAAAAAGAGGTTCTTTGTCTCTAGGCCGAGAATAGCAAGAGAGAAGGAGACAGATTCTGTTCTACCACAGAGTGAAATAATGAAACTACCTGGAAAGCCAGTTCCATGAGAAATTCAATAGGACAGACCCAGACATTCAAGTTGCCAATTTGGCAAGATTGACTCAGCTCCAAGGCGAGTAAGTATTTCTTGTCTAAAAAATAAAAGATTTGTCATTTTTCAAGACCCCTTTCATTTCTTTTGGTTGTACTTCTACTTTATTTATGTTTATCCCTTATCCCGAAATAATGAATTGAGTCCGTAGAGGCATTTTTGAGGCTGCTATTGAAATTGCTCTTCTAGCTATATTTTCTGTTACTCCGGTCATTTCATAAAGTATTCGACCGGGTTTAACAACAGCTACCCAATATTCGGGGGATCCTTTCCCCGAGCCCATACGCGTTTCAGCAGGCCTTACTGTAACTGGTTTGTCTGGAAATATCCTTACCCATATTTTGCCACCACGACGTACATTTCGTGTCATTGCTCGCCGACCGGCTTCTATTTGTCTAGATGTGATCCAAGCGGGTTCAAGTGCCCGAAGAGCATATTTACCGAAACATATATGATTCCCTCGATAAGATATTCCTTTCATTCTTCCTCTGTGTTGTTTACGGAATCTGGTTCTTTTGGGGTTATAGTTGATGGTTGTTTATGAATTCCATCTCTACTACAGAACCATACATGAGAATTTCTTCTCATATGGCTCCTCGCAATTTCATTTGAATAAAAATTGTAATACAAATACAAAAGAAATTAAATAAAAATTGATTTTACTTTTAACTAGTTTATCGCGAATCTTAGTAGTATTTGATATTCAACCTAATCTAGTACTAATTTGTGTATCCGGTTTGAGTTTGAATAGATAACGAATTTCATTTCCACCACTCGCCTTCTATAAGCCTACTCTTACTTTACTGTTCAGTGAGTTGAGCGCGAAAGCTCGTCAGCGGAGATTGTAAAAAGTCTTGATTCCGAGGAAGGTGTAGTCGGGGTTGACCACAATTTCCCAAGTAAGAGATAGAATCTCACTAATTGGAAGGAAAATAGGGGATTGTGATTCGGTTTCTTGGTGTGGAGAGATCTCTGCCATAAAAGAGAGCTCCTAGCCCTTTTTTCTGCAGATCAAAGAGCCCCATTCATCCGAAAGAGTTTAGTATAGAACAGAGGCATTCTGGACCGACTACACGCCCATCTAGTGCAGTGGCTTGGAAGCAAGCTACCTTGACCATCTTCCGAAGTTATAAATAATCTACTGATCGAAGGCTGTAAGGGCAGACTGGTCTACATTAAGCCACACCACAGTGACCCCCGAAGCGATCTTCTTCTAGTTGCGGGACGAAATCCGACAGCTTATTGCTGGCTCTGAATAACCAGCCCAGCAATAAGCTTAATTCTTCCATAAAATAACAGGGCGGGCTTGCGCGCGAGCCGAATGACGTAGGTGCACAAAAGTACTTCGCGCCACAACCATCTCCTTTTTATAGGTTCTACGGACCGATGCCTGCTGCTTCATCTGGGAGAAAAGAATCATAGATATGCCGGTCATTAGAAGGAAGAACCGCCATAAAAAGATTCCTCGTGTATCATCTGTAGCAAAACTATGAACGGGAGCTAGCAATCCGGACCGTATTGAAAAGGTTCCTAAGACACAGCATAGAAAAGTCACAATATTAAGAAAGGAGGTCCAAGAATGAAGAAGGGGTAGAATTACTGAATGAATACGAGCTGTGGCTAATACCCGAGGCATAAAAGAAGCATTTTCTACGGGATCCCGAAACCACCAGCCACCCCGACCTAATTCATGATAAGCCCACCAACTTCCTGGCAAAATGCCTACGGTTAAAAACCACCGACATGTCAAGATCCAAATTCTAATTGGTTCCTGGTCTTGGTCAGAAACCACTGTGTTCGCGCCGGCGGTCCAACAAAGAGGCGAAGTAGTGGTATCTTTCTTTCCATTACGAACGACACGCTTCGCCTGCTCCCCCCCCGTGTCCACTAGCGCTCTTGTCCAGAGCGAAGAGAAGGCGAAAAAGCGCCGCCGAAGCAGGCTTCTATTGCTACGTAACAATAGAGCAGGATAGCATTTTGCGCCCACATCTTTGAATTTGAGGGTAAAGAGCTCACTTGTTATACGGGATCCAAGGCATCCAACAGAGCAAAACAGTGTTCCATTCTTTTCGGTGGCATCCTTCCGCATTGGCGGCGAGTGACCTGCCACAATCCCATTCATCATTTTGGATCTACATAAGCCAAAGCCCATAGCACTAGCGACGTCTCCGGCATAAATGCAAGGAGGATGTATAGCTGATATAGGATCTTGTGAAACAGGATTTGATTCTGCAAGCGGTTCGGTACGAACGAAGAAATTTCGAACAAAAGGGTCGGAACTCGCCGATAGGAAAAGAGAGAAAAACAAAGCAATGCCAAGAGCTCCGTCGATCCGCTGTTCATCGATAGACGGAGCTCTCTCTTTATCATCTCGTGCCAGATGCAACAAAGGATGAGTCCTTTTTCCTTCTCGCGAACGAAGTTCAGAATCAAAAAGGGTTCGTAGAACAAAGGGGGTGTACAACTGGGGCGCAGCCCAACTTTTTTGTTCGAAACGAGGGAGAGAGAGAATGGAGTTCTTCACGAAGTTCGAAACAAAGGAAAAAAAAAGACTTTCTCTATGGCCTCCTCGTTTTGAGACATTATGGCTTTGGAGTCGACCTCGGTAACAAAGAAGGAATCCATAAAAACTTAGGATCCGACACCATGATAAAATACTACCCTCATGATTAGACCATGTCCCTGAGATTTGATAAAATAAAGGTGCATTAGCGGTTAATACGTTGTAATTAGATAAGTTATTAGGAATATGACAGAACGAAAGACCAAGGAAAGAAAGAAGAATACACCAGAAAGCAGGTGCTGCACCAAACACTGGTCGTTGTTTCTTGTTGTAAGTGAATGCAACGAAAAGACCCGGAAATAACGAATAATGAAACAATTCATATATTGACATTTCGTGCTCATTTCAAAATTTCTGCTTTGTTATTCTCATCATCCGGTAACTACAGGATGATCCACAAGAAAGGTGGCAGGATTCGAACCTATAGCCGGCCCGCCCCTGACCTGCTGGGTTGGGCGGCCGGGTTAGCACCCCTCGTCGCCTCTGTACCCGAAACAGATGCGCTTCGCTATCCAGCGCGTAACTTTGTCTCTCCTACTCTTCTTCTGGTTATGCCATTACCAATCGCGGGTAACCCCCCGGTCCGGCGGCCGCCCCTGACCTAAGAAGATTATCCTTATGACCAAACAAGGACCAGCTTACTTACTTCTTTTTTGGGGTTAAAATCTTTCTTCAAATGCTCTTATTGGATTCTCGTATTACTCAAAAAAACTTAACTTACCATTAGAGTTGACTGTATTATATCCAAAAAACAATAGGGTTGGACGACGATAGGATAATTGAAAATAATAGTATGAAGTAGGGGGGTGATAAGCCATAATACTATATTATATAGTAGAACTTCGTATTTCAGCAGCTATTAAGAGTCCTGTTAATAGAAGTGTTCCTGCAATAACTTGATCCGTTTATGCAATCCCGGCCCTCCCAGTTATCGGCCACAAGGTTGGTGGCGGCCACAATTGTCTTCTTCCATGTGATATCAGGCAAGAGGCTTGGAACCTTTATTAACCCATCAAAGAGTTTGGTTATTTTTTTTCAGAACGAAACGAGGTAATCAACGAAGAAGAGAAGACGAAACTCCGATATGCATTTGTTGGCCTATCGTCTTCGATTTGTTTAAGTGCCGTACTCCTTCTCAAGCCCTTTCCCTTTGGTCGAGCACTCAATCAACCTGGTAGAGAACTCCAGTTCTATGCCTGAATGGACCTACTGGGGAAAGGCAGGGAAGGAATGTGGACAAGACAACGGGTTTCAATGACTCCGAATTCCGGAGTGTAATAGAGAGTAGACAGCCTCAATCCTGAAAGCAAGTCAAGCAGAGATGAGTGCGCAAATAGCGTGTTTGAGAAATGTCTTACTGAGAATCAAGTGTTCAGTACAATCGTCTCACGTGCTGATTTCCATCCGTTCGGTCCTCACTCTCAACGCAAACGGTAGTCAGGGAGCGAAGCCGAACGAAGTTCAGACCTTCCACTCCTTTCTACTACTCCACTCGCTCCCTCGCTTTTGGGCACAGGGATGCGAGAACCAGCACTTTCCAGATCCAGTAAGTCGAAGAGCACCCGAGATTGATTATATATCATAATAATAACCTCCCTACCGGTACAAAGAAAAAAAGAAATCGATAATATCTTTTTTAAGATGTCCTTGAGGAATTTCATCAATTGTGAGGGGGAATGCTAACTCCGAAGCAACAATTGCGTTAGTGGTGGGTATGTTTGGTCAGTTAGCTGTTGACTAGCGCCCCCTGCAGGTAGCGCTTCGGGGAGCTCTTACCCATCCCAAAGTTCACCGGACATAAAAGAAGGTTTAGGTTTCCAGTTTTCCTAATCCGAGTGCTAGCTCGTGCATATTCATCTTGACTTCACAGAGCCCCTCGGAACAAGTTGCACTTGTATTTGCGTAAAGAAAGGGCCTGTGCCCAGGTTCGGGCATTACAAATACCATCCTCGCTTCCCCCAACCGGCACGGCTCCCTATTGACTCAGCTGCACAATGAATCCTTGTTCTCGAATCAGCAGCTATCGAATAGCCCTTTATGAATGGTAGCACATATCCGTCGGATTAGACCAACAGGACAGAGATTAGGGAATCCTTTTAGTAAACTATTAGGGTACCAAGCAGTGCGCTAGCAGTCCAGTACATTAGTCTTAGATCATTGAGCGAGAGCGGAGCCTAGCCCTATCAGAAGAGGTTTGAGAATCTTACTATATGTGTGCCACGACGAAAAAGGTAGCCGAACCAAAGTGCTAGCGTACAAGAAGGAGCTTTCGGCAGTGAATCACATGTAGAAATACAAAAATGTTTCATCATCGAGATTATTTCTGAACTCCCCTATGACCGAGAAGCTTTTTCCTACCGTGTATTCTCGTGCTAAGAAAAAAGAGGGGGGGAACCCGGCTCACAAACCGGGGGATCTGGGGGCTTTTGCCCGCTCATCATCAATAAAATTCTACTACTAGGTTAGTACCCATTCTGACTCTTGTCAGTCTCCGAGGGACATCGAAGACTTGGAACTAACAATATTCATTGCCTCACTACCATCTCTCTCGGAAGTAAGTTTCCCCGCCATCTTAGTGGTACTAGTCTAATAAACTTTCACTTTAACTGCCAAGACTCGGATTTTGGTAACGCTCTTATAGAATTACGTTGAACGTCCCTTTATGATATGCCTTTCCCGATCGGCGGGAACGGCGACTATCGACCAGAAGGAAAAGAACGGACTAAAGCGAGGAGTTCATTAGCCATACGTAGCCAATGGGCCAAGCCAAACTTACGTATAAAGCAAAAAGCATTGAAACTAACACGAGTGGAAGCAAGACTTGGAATCATAACAGAAAGCGCTACGGCTAGAGCTAATACAATTAGGCCAGAACGGAGTGACTTAGGTCCCATGCCAAAATTTCTTTGAAACCGTACTTGTAGAAGTAGGCATAAGAGCTCTATCAGCTAGCTCGTTCTGGTCTAGTTGCGCCATAAGAGAAGGGAGCAGGGGAGCCACTCCTAGACCAGCAGAATGACATGAACGAGCGACAAGACCGATTGCAAGCCCTACACAAAGAGGGAGGTCTGCTCCAGGCCTCTTCATTCCGAAAACAGCTCTCGTCCCTCTCACTTCATTTCTCTGATAGAAGGAGAGGAATCGACTCTACACCTAAGGAGGGGAAGCGAGGCGGTTCGTCCGTTCGTTCCACCCTTTTTTTTAGTAAAGATATAGAGGCAATAGGAACTTACTTTCCTCTGGCTATCGTTCTCGCGGAATTAGTTCGCTTCCTGTCAGCTAGTCGGTCAGTAAGAAGAAGATTCCATATAGAAATAGAAGCGCCAAACAAGAGCAAGAAGTTCGTTTACACAGTACGAGAAAAACCATTCTAAAGAAGCCACATATAAACGTGGGCAGGTCTGCTCATTATTTGTGTTCGTACATTTATTCATTATTGCAATACAAATAACACCTCCACTTTACTAGTGATGGAGGGGATTCGCGCCGGATGGAACAAGGCGTTTTGAACCATATACTACTGTTGCTGGAATGAAAGGCAGCCTCGGAACAGAATTATGCTGCTTGCTGGGCCCTGATGGTGGAACTGGGATTTTTTTGGGGAAGGCCCCCCTTTTGCGGCAGAGTGGGCAGCATCGCTTTCCCTCGTGTAGCTATGATGCCATTCAGAAACAACACAAGAAGAAGAAAAAGCAGTATTTCGCGGATTCTTGCCATCACTGGAAAACAAATTGAGCTGTAGGCATCAAGGTAAGGGACCGATATTATATACTGCTGCAGAAGCGGAATCGAAGGGGTTGGTTGAAAGGTAAGGATAGCATGATTGACTGGTTGCGGGTCCTTTGGATCATGGGCCACAGCTACTTGGGTAGAGACCGCTGAACATCATTTGGGCAGGCCGAGGCTATATGGGCTTAGGCCTTTTGATGGCTGTCATTTTCTAGGCTATTTTGAAGAGTTAACCTCTTTTGTATATAAGCAGTCAAACAAGATCGGATTGAATCTAGCCTGACAAGCAAGCAATGGGAGTTCGAACCTCCCTCGATCTATTCTATGGTGATTAAAGCGCGTGTTTACCTTTTTGAAAAAGATGCCTGCTCTCCTAAGCATGAAAATTTCCTTAACTCAGAGAATGCTTTGGTACAGAATAAGCTGTTGGTTTAAATCAATGAATCTGTGTCTAAAGTTCATTCCAAGCTAGACAATGTCCATGAAAAGGTAACCCAACACTCAAAGCTGGTTAGAGATCTTATCTCTGCTTTCGAGTATCGACTGGCTACTATCAAGTATGATTTGCCTGAACCTGGTGTCTCATATTTTCATTCCATGACCCGAAATTTCTTTTTTTAAAACTCAAATTTCTCATTTAAAAGACAGAGGTAAACTTCCAGAGCCAGCAAATCCTGCAGCTTTTGGAAAAGCCTAGTACTTTCATTTCAAATCCTTTTGAGACATTTACAGATCAACAATCTTCCATGCCAGTTCAACAATCATCCGTCTTTCCTATGATTTCATCTGTTCCAGCTCGATCGGTCCCCTCCCAAAGAAATGGATCTTATTGCTTGGTATAAATAAACAAGAAAGAGTCAAAGAAGCAAAGCCTCTCCATCTCTTTTAAAGTCTTGGATGATATGCTGCTCATTAGGAACTCTATCTACTTTAGGAGATTCTGGTAGAGATAAAGACACCATAGATGGAAATATCGAAAAAGTGGGCTTATTCAAATGAGAATGATTGAACTCAATAGCAAGAGTGCCATTTGGTCTCCTGGATATAGTAGATTCAGTTGACTCAATCGGCTTTTGTCTGTGTTCATACATTTTCTCATAATTAGTTACCGGGGAGTAACCGTATGAGTTCTGCACGAGAAATCCGCCGAGGGACATGAGTACAGGAGGCTGATTGTCCTTCTTCAATGTTAAGAATGAGAGCTTCCTTTCCACCAGGAAGAGAGAGATCATATGCATGATTTTGCACACGAGAAACCATTTGATAATGGAGAGTGGAAGTAATAGCTTCATGAGCTTGAGCTGCTCCTAGAATATGCATTTTTACCTTCAAAGCTTCCAGGATCTAATAAAGAAATATTTAGGATGCGTGCTAACAGAAAAGAAGAAAGCCCGGAAGTCATCAGATACGGTTTAATCATCCTAAGCTACCTCACCGCTGTAAGTCCAGGTGGAAATAGCAGCGGATCTTAGCTCTTTGGCTATAAAAAGGAGTAAGGGAATTGAATCAGAAAGCAGGACAGAATAGGCTATTACTGCTCTAGAAAGAACTTCCCTTGAATGCTATTGATATTGAATCAGTTGCGGGACTTTACTGCCTTAAGC